TTCCTTGTAATTTAGTGTCTACATATATACATATATACATATATATATAAATCACAACAGGCTTACTTTTTAAGCAATTCATTGACAGATTTACAACTGAATGAAGGACCACAAAATACCAAATCTTTGCCATTGTCAATTCGTGAAAAGATGGTCAAATTTGTTGGTAGAGGAATGTATTACAGAAAAGAATTGGTAAAATGGCATAGGATCAACGAGGACACATTTAACATCTGGGATTATGGGGGCCAGGTAATCTACCATGGAATTCATCGGGTAAGTCTTCTTTAAACCATTCATTTGTTGAGATTATAAGAGTACCGATTTTGATGGTGATACATAGCACAGATGCTCAGTGATTTTACCGTAGTTTCATTTGGTTGCAATGCTATAACATATACCAGTATTTTTTAATAGATCTTCATGACATCAATGGCAGTTTACATCGTCGTGTTTAACCTTAACGTCAATCTGGATGACAAGGCCATTGTAATGGATTCATCAGGGGTAAATTTAGTATTATTAATATATATTTCATTGACTAAATGTTTTTTAAAAGGACATTTGTATCTTTTCCAATATCAACACCTTTATCTGTTATTTATAGTACTGTTTTGTTATAGCACATTATAGGACATATTGCTGTATAAAATTGTAGTATATATATAGACATTAACAAATATTAGTTTTGAAAATGTGTTATTATTGTCACATTTACATCATTTTTCTCATTATAATTATATTATTGTTTATCATAATTATATTACTTTATCTTTGTTATAATTTCCTTTATTTTTATACCATTATTATCATAGATAGTATCATAGTTATTGTTATTTATTATTATATAAAACATTTATTATAAAAAATAATTTTCAACCAATATTATGCTATGAAATCATCTTTTGTTATTTGTTTCCTTTCAAGCAAATGCGCATTCACCACCTGACAAACCTTGAGTTCATATTATATTGGATTTTGTCAGCGTACATTCACAGCCGTGAGTTAAAAGTTGACCTGAAGCTACAGATTGCATTACCGGCTATTGTCCTCGTGGGTACCCACCGAGACTCCCTTGGATCCACTGAACAGGAAAGGATAAGCAAGGTTAATACTTATTGAAAGAATTGGAGCAGAATATAATTACTGTACACCAATAGTATACATACTCAGAGTTTTCAGAATGATGTCTATAACATCTTGCAAACATTTTATAGAAATTAATACGGTAGACTGTATTATATTCTTATTCTTTGAAAACATAATTATATACCACTTGGTGTCTGTTATCAATGTCCAAGAACCTTTGTATGGTTGGTCATTATTGCCATAATTCTGATCATTTTAGCCTATCAAATATCAAGAATAACGCTGAAAGGGCCATCATAAAAGCGCTGTTATCTTTTAAGTAAGTGGTGCTTTGTAACAATAAATTATAGGATTGGCTATGAAAGCCATAATGAAAGTACCGTAATCTTTTTTTTAAAACGTGTTACATTGCTATGTTTCATTATGACTTTCCCTGTTATTCTTGACATTGCTTGACTAAAAATCAGAAAAGGGGCCCTTTTTGCTACAACGTAATGCTTTAACGCACATATTCACATATTCGCAACAGTTTATCGATTGGCCTTTCTCAATTTCTTCGTGCTTTAAAGGATCACTTCAAAAAATAAAATTTGTTGTGTAAGGGTTCCGATGGCGGACAATCTTGACTTTCTTGATTTTTAATAACTTTCTTGATTTTTAATAATTTTAAATCTTTCTTTTTTCTGCGCTACTGCTGTCGCTGATACTTATTTTGCTGTCGATGTTTGCTGGTATCATTTATTGTTGTTCTCATGGAGTTTCTGGGAATATCCCAGAAACTCCATGAGAATAACAGTATATTGTCTCTTGCGTGCTGCGCTGCGCTGTGCCTTGCTGTTTTTAATCGTTTTTACTTCCAGTATCCTTAAATCAGTGGAGAAACTTTATACAGCAATTTAGTTTGCTTTTTGTTTATCCTGTCTCAGATTTTTGGTATTGTTATTTCTGTATGTTTTGTTTTCTGTTTGACGAAATAAATGAAATGAATGAATAAAAAAGTCAACGACACTTTCATTATGGCCAAGAAGACCAACCCTATAGTTACGGTGCTTTTATTGTTACAAAGTGCCGCTTATTTACAAGCCTATGGCGCTTTTAACTTTTAGTTCTGGCATCTAAAATTCAGAAAAGGCGGCGTTTTAGCTAAAGCGTAATGTGTTTAAAAAGCTAGAGGCACTATCATTATGGTCGTGATGGCTGACTATACCTTTGAAATACACGGTTAAGAAAATGGATAAATTATTTATTACTGTACTTTTTTTCTTACCAAATTATATGACCAGGTAAAGGAAGCGTTCGACAAAATAGAAAAGGCACTGATGGGTAAACCATACGAAAAGCATGTGTACCCAACATACTTTGACATCGAAAATAATCGTTCAGAAGTAGATGGCAATATTGCTAAGCTGAAGAAAGTGCTTGATCATCTCATGACAGCATTGGACAAGCCCATTCCGTTGAAATGGATGCGCTTCCGTAGCGAAATTCATAAGTTAAAGGATACAACAGTAGTCTGTCCTTTAAAAAAGGTAAATTTTTCCAGTATTAAATATTTTTTTTTACAGTATTTGTTTTACAGTAATTATTGTTAAATATTTGTGGTCAGTAATTATCATAAAATTTAGCCTATATTAAAATATTTTTGTCTATCTTACAATATTTCTGAAAATGATTTAGTAGTTAAGTGGAGTGATATGAAATTCCTCCACCCCCCCCCCCCACAAAAAAAAGTGCTAAAAAATCAACACTTCGCTTTTGTCAATGTTGTAAATGATGAATGTTTAAAAAAACACTCGTACACACTTACTGTGATATTTTCAATAAAATCTAAAGTTTCATCAGCATTTTGGAATTCTCAGAAATGGTACATCAAGAGTTAGCATAAATTAGAAATAGTGTTACTGCATAAATTGACAAAGTACTGCTAAAATTGCAGCAGTGTTGAAAGTTTTAAGTTTGTTAATTAAAGAATAATTCATCTTTTTACACCATATTCAAATGTAGAAACAAATATTTCTCATTAACAACAAAACATTAATTAACTCGTAGCTTCATTCAAGTATTAATTGTTACTTAAGGTGAAAGAATTGGCTGCCAAGTTTGGAATAAATGAGGAAAATCAACAAAGTGTCCTATTGAACTTCTTGTATGACCTTGGCGAAATCATATACATGCCTGACAACAAGGTTTTACAAGAGTACGTGGTATTGAATCCAATGCATTTTGTTGAAATGGTCACAACAGTCATCACTGTGAAACAACCCAACTTGGAGGTAAGAATAAACTTATCCCTTGTATTGAATATATAGATTGGTGGTTACGATGATCGATTTCCAATTCCATAGTCATATGTTCAAATTCTGTAACAGTATGGGTTTTTTTTTTTTGCATGACTAATAAACCTCTCCACTCCATAGCCTTAACTGCGAAACCTTGACTTAGAAGTACCGGGAGGGTGTCCGGTGAGGGTTAGGTTAATCCTTGTTAAGTGTAGGTTTTCAAATTCAAAATGCTGTTAAAATTTTAGCCCCCATAGTTTGTTAAAATAATCATTTAAGTGATTTTTACCTCTATTTTGTAATCTTGACCCCGAAACATTGACTCCGAAATACCGGGTGGGTGTCCGGCGGGTATAGTTTTTACCATATTATATTTAAGTCAATGTAGTTGAGCCCAACCTTTAAATTCCTTGCCTGAAACCTCGACTCAGAAATACTGTGTTGGTGTCTGGCGAGGGATGGTTTTTTATTAAGCATACTGTAGTTAAGCAAATGTAATTAAACCAAACCATGTAATTCCTTGCCCCGAAACCCTTGTACTCAGAAATACCGTCTGGGAATAGTTTCTACCCTAGTTTAGGGTTTATGTAAAGTGCCTAGAGGGATATGAGATGCTATACAAATACTTTATTATTATTATTATTAATGAGACTAGTTTATAAAGCCTCACATTATTTTCCTTTATTTAAGACATTTCCGAATATCAGTCACCTTCTTTAAAATGGTATGAAAATCATATGTATTGTTCAGTCTGAAATAGTAAAAAAAAAAATCATAATGTTCTTTCTGTGTTATTTCAGTCAGCCCTGTATAAAGACCTCTACAGAAAACTTAACGAGGGTATATTAGAGGAGCCGTTGTTCAAGAAGCTTTTGGAAGATCGTGGTGTTGATTTGAAGAAGTTTGACTTTTTTGTCGAGTTGATGAGACGATTTTGTCTTCTTTGTGAGAGAAAAGTAAGTTGTCTCTTATACACATCTAGATGTGTATAAGAGACAGGTGGTATATAAATAAATAAACTTGATGTTAATGGCTAGTTCAACAATGCAAGTTCTTTGGATGCTTTTTATCCAGTATTTAAACATGGTTTATAGCGCCTAATAGCCAAATTTTGTTTAGTTATGAATACATACTGTGGGTGAAACTGAAGAGAGCAACAATGCAGTCGGATAGAATTTATTACAAGTTCAGCAATATTTCATGATTGGTTGCTCTTTATTATGAATATAATATCGCTTTCATTAAAATGTGTTATATATTTTTTGATAGGCAGCCAAACCAGGAAACCGTTCTTTCTTTGTCCCACTTCGACTGGCACTTGAACCATCGTCCGATGACCATGGGCGGGTCGACAATTATGGTGAACGTGCTATTAGCATTTACCATGACTTCTGTGGATACCTTCCAGACGAGTTGTTTCCACAGCTGGTTACAGAGTTTATCGACAGGTTTCAAGACGAAGAAGGAAATGAACAACCAAAGCTGGCACGTGATCATGCAGAACTTTACTTCGATCAACATCATCGTGTAATAATGTCTGCAATTACTTTTGGACTAAACCGACTCCTGAGGGTAATACATGTTTTTTTGTATGAATTTTGTAAAATTCTATTACAGTATATTACTCCATATTTAATATTGGTAAATACTCTTATGTATTTCTAATATTGCTAGTTTTATTATGTTTATTTCCATTTGTCATTTCTTTATTACACTTTAAGCAGATCACTTCAATGGGACAAACTAGCTCTCAATAATTGTGTTTAATGATCCATGACAGTCGACTCTCTTAATGTTGCATCAGTGTTTTTTTGTTTTTTTTTTGTACCTAATTCCAATATGTGTCTGATGTTTCTTATCTTTTAAATGTTTTCAAAATGTCAGATGTATTGTTTAAGCCAGTTCACTGTCAAGGAACTGTCCTATTGTTTTGTGTTTATTTACTTTATTATACGTTATAAGACTATATATAATAAATGAAATGATTTCCCTTCAGACAACTATTCTTAGAAGGGAGCGAGACGACGGAGCACAGGAAGACCTCGAACCATTACCAGAAGCCTGCAAAACGGTATGTTGGAATTTCTCTATCATAAATTGTGTGATTGTTAAGTCTCTTGATAATTTTATTTAGTGTTTGGTTTAACCCTGCCAAACCTTCGTCCAACCCACTATATTGACAGCATGATCTATGTCTCATAAAAAAATTAGTTAAAAAATATAATGTTTCAAATATGCAGTTTCTATATAAACACTTTTTAAATTTTCTGTAGGTTTTGGAGTTTCTTGAGGAGTCATTCAAGGTCTCCCAACAAGGTGGCAGGAGGGGGTTTCAATTCCAACGATGTATACCTTGCAGCATATGCAGCAAGCACTCACCAAAGAAACACATACGATGGTTGGGGAATTTTGAGAAGGCATGGCTTCCATGCAAAGACAAAACAATGAGTGTCATACGTTATAAACGACTATTTGCAGGTACAATCGGCAAAATTGTTCTTGATTGTATGGGTTGTTAATACTTTATGATGAAATTTTTATTAGGCAGATACTAGACTAAATGATGACATGCTTTAAGTATTAATTAAATACTTATACAATCCCATACAAACTAAAATTTAATTATTAAATTAAACTTAGTTTAAAAGTTTAAAGAAAAATAGAATAAGCATAGGTTTGTTAATGATTAATGTAGAATTTATTTATTGTTTTACAGGTATTGTAGATTCAGATGAACAACTGCCAGAAGAGTCATATGCTGAAGGTATGAAATTTATATCTTTATTTTAAGTTATATTTAATAATAATTTATAAGTTATAAATAAGTAATATTTAAGCTCAAAGAAAAATATAATAGGCATGGGTTTTTTTAATGAATTTATTTATTGTTTTACGAAGGTACTGTAGATTCAGATGAACAGCTCCCAGAAGAGTCATATGCTGAAGGTATGTAACTTATATCTTTGTTTTGCAATTTAATCATTTTAAAAATTGTAAAATTATTGAAAATACAGTATTTCTGTTTTAGTTTAGTTGTTTTTGCTTTGGTAATGAACGATTCTTGCCCTCAAGTTGCTTGTTATAGTCTTTCTTTATACCACTATAAAAAAGAAGAAATATATATTATTAAAGAATAATTGTTATCACAAATTTCAATATAGCTTATAAAAAATTATCATAATACTATCTTATAATTGTCATTGCAGGTTCTGGATTAGAGGATTTAGATTTTAGAGGGATGCTAATGCATGTCTCAAATGACATTGGTGATGACCTCAACAAATGGAAAGTAGCCCTCAGCGATCATATTAATCCTCGTACTTTACAGAAGGCGCCTGATGCGATTCCGCTCTTCGAATCGCTGATTGAGAAGGCAGATATTAAGAATGGTGATATAAGGATCCTACAAGAGACCATTAAGATGACAGGTTCACTTCATTTGAGGAAGCACATTCAGAATTTTCCATCCCTCGACAATATCGTGATTACTCACTTCACACCATTTAGGCAATCTGTGATGGCATTTGGAAAACAACTTACTGTTGATGACAATAGGAAAATTGTCTCTTTTTACGGGCTTCGTCGTCAGTACAGTGATGGATGGTCACTGATAATGGACTTGGAACAAAAACTAATACTTGATGATAACTCATTAGGTGATTTCAAACATAAATTAAATAATAATGGACTGGAAAGACTTAGCAATTGTCTATAACACTAGGCTAAAACACAACAATCATGCTTAGAAAGTGCATCAAAACGTACTACAATATATTTTGTTGTGAATTCAAGATTCCATTGGTAATGATGGTCTCTGGTGAACATTGATTTTTCATTTAATAATGTATACTTCTATATTGTTTGTGACAAAAACATTAAGAATATTTTCTTCTATTACGGGTTTTCGTCAGTACATTGATGGATAGTCACTGATAATGGACTTAAAACAATAAGATAAACTGAAGAAAAGGTCATTAACAAAGATACTAGAAATACAAAGTAGAACACTCGCATAGCATAATGAGACGGAATTTGGTTCAGACGTACGCAGCGCCCTTCTCTTTTTATAATGCAAGTTTTCTATACTTGGCCAGACGTATAGGGCACCCTTTCGTTGCTAGGTACAGAGCCATATATGTATATAC